CCTTGGGAAAATTATTTAACCAATCTGAGTCTCAGGTTTTTCTTAAATAAATGAAGATAATCATATTAATTAACAAGTAATGATGTTGTGAGAATGAAAAGGCAATGCTGGCACATATTAGAGGATGATGGTGGTGGTGGTTGTGTGCCGTGGACTCAGTTCCGACTCATAGCGACCCTGTGCAGGGTTTCTGAGGCTGTAAATCTTTACGGGAGCAGAAAGCCTCATCTTTCTCCAGTGGAGCAGCTGGTAGTTTCGAACCGCTGACCTTGCAGTTCGCTGCCCGACTCGTAACCACTATGCTATCAGAGCGCCTTACTGCACTACAGTACTACACTACATAGACACATGTTTACATGGGTGGCAGAGAAGGCAATATACAACAAGAGGGAGGTTGGCAGAGGAAAGACGAAGGTAGCGGGAAACATAGGGAGGAATGCAAGAGTTAAAGAAAATAGAGGTACCAGTGTTAACTGATGGTACACGGAGGGGATTGCAATCATTCTCTTGAAGCTGAGTCTATGATTTGTGGAATGTAAAACTGATGATCTGCTCTGTAAAGCTTTACTCAATTCGCAATAAAAAGATTTAAAAAAAAAGACAACGTTGGGAGAAGTACTGAGAAATTATGAGGTTCACGTCAGGAAAATGCAGGTCATTCCCTTCCTTTTTAGTGATGTAGAAAGTAAGTACTCAGTGACTGGCACAGAAGGTAGGTATATTATCATGCTCATTTTAAAGAGTCCGAAGCTGAGACTCAGAGACGTGAAGTAGTTTGTGGATGGCGAAGCCTGGTCTATCATACTCTAAAGCCCCTGCTCAATGCCACTAGACTCTACTGCCCAACAGAGGACTCCTACAGCCACATGTGACTACTGGGCATTGAACCACATACAGCATGTCTAAATTGAGAGGTGCTGAAGACATACCGGATTTCACAGATTTAGAACAAGAAAACTAAAATGTCTCATAATTAAGCATTTTTATGTTGAAATATTATTTGGAATATACTTGGTTAAATAAAAGGTATCATTCAATTTTTCACCTCTTTCTTTAGTCTTCTTAGTGTGGCTCACAAGCTATTTCTATTGGACAGTGCTGCACTGCTTTCTGGTGAAATGAACCTACGCAGGAACTCCTGTGTGCATCCACAATGTGTTTGGAATCATGCGTGAGCAAAAGGACACAACTCATTTTGGAGAAAACATTCTGTAAAAGACAGCCATGCCAAAATTCAAAATCATTTTAAAATGCTGTGGTCACCTATAGAATGGGGAAAGGGCCTTCATTTTCTCGCAGGGCCAGGAGGGCACTAGGAGGATGCGAGGGGAAATGGGAGAGCTAACAGAAGTCAGAGCAGCCCCAAGCAACACAGAGTTGCACCAAGAACAAGAAAAGTTATGTGGGTTCTTATGTCTTTTTTTTTTTGGCTAACAGCAAGAAACAGGATGAAGAGGCTATTTTTTATATATTCTAATGGCCAGGGAATAATAGAGATATCAAATTTAGGAGGGACATATAGAACACCCAATTAAATTTGAATTTCAGAAAAATGATGAATCATTTTTTAGTATGAGTATGCCCCATTTGTTGTTTATCTGAAATTAAAATTTAATTGGATCTCTATTTTGGCAACCATTGGACTGCTAGCTTCAAGGTTGGCAGTTCAAGCCCATCAGCTGCTCTGTGGGAGAAGATGAGGCTGTTTGTTCCTGTGAAGATTTACAGTCTCTGAAACCCTATGAGATGACTCCCCTATGAGATGGATTGACAAAGAGGCAGCAACAATGAACTCAAATGTAACAAAAATTGTGAGGATGGCACAGAGCCAGGCAGTGTTTCATTCTGTTGTGCACAGGACACCCTATGAGTTGGAACCAACTTAATGGCACTTAAACAACAACATGAGCTGGAATTGACACAGTTGGCAGTGAGGTTCGTGTGTTTGTTTGCCACGGAAGCAGTGAAAGCAATGGATGCAGATACCACCAAGTATGCCTGGGAGACAACGTGGCATTTTGACTCTTTGCAGGTCAAGCAGAAAGACAGTGAAGCAAGCCAAAACTGTTAACAAGGAACCATGTCAAATCTTGAGCCCATAGCAAATAATGAGGCTGACTTCAGTTAAATGAAATAAAAATAGAGTTTTGATATTGACAATACAGCATCGGTGGTCAAGTTAGCAAGGCCTCGAAAACTTCTCCTTATCCAAACTTAAACCTAGCATTCCTGCAAATCAAGCCACTGAAAGAACTGACATCTATTCTGACAGTCTCCATCCTCTCTGACCAATGATACCCTGGCAGCCTTTCAACAGTAACTTGTATAAGCCAATCAGAAATAAGCTTCTTTTGCTTCTGAGTTTTGTCAGTCTAAGCCAATCTCTGCCAATCTCAGTGGCGTACCTTTCCACATGTGATTTGGTGCTACCCAATTCATGATTCTTCTGCCTGAGTACACCTCATCTAATTTGTTGCTAAGTGTCATCGAGTCGTTTTCAACTCATAGTGACCCTGTCTAGAGTTTCTGATGGGTCTGAGTTCAAGCCACCTTCGCAGTTCAAGTGGACTTTGCTGTCCAATGCATTATCCTGCAGCACCACACCAGGACTCTGCTTCATCTAATCAATTAATTTTATTATTGACTCAGTTTCTTTTGATACTTTCATGTCCCCTGACCCTTAGACAGCCTTCAGTCTGAGGCTATCTGAATTTTTACTGATGTAGTAATTATTATTAACACAATAAAGGATACATGATAAAGGATGATGACACCTAACCAGGCACATTTTCATAACCTTGTTCATTAATTTGTATTCATAGTGTTGAAGGGCAAAGATGACAGCTTGAGGACTAAGGTGAGCCTGACCCAAGCCATGGTATTTTCAATAACCTCATATGCATGTGAAAGCTGGACAGTGAATAAAGAAGACCATAGAAGAATTGATGCTTTTGAGTTATGGTGTTGGAGGAGAATATTGAAAGTGCCATGGGCTGCCAAAAGAACCAATAGATCTGTGTTGGAAGAAGTGCAGTCAGAGTGCTCCTTAGAGGTCAGGATGGTCAAACTTCATCTCTCATACTTTGGACATATTGTCAGGAGGGACCAGTCTCTGGAGAAGGATATCATGTTTGGTAAGGTGGAGGGTCAGAGAAGGAGAGGAAGACCCTCAGCGAGTTGAATTGGCCAAGTGGCAGCATCAATGGGCTCAAGCGTGGCAACAATTATGAGGTTGGCCCAAGACCGGGCAGTATTTCTTTCTGCTGTGTATAAATAAGGTTGCTATGAGTCGGTACTGACTTGATGGCACCTAACAACAAAAACATCATCATGAAAAGGGAATAGTATCTCATTGCCTTGCTATTTTAATGAAGAATTACACTTTTTGAAGAAAAAATAACACATAATGCATAGGCTTTACTCTTACTCTTCTACTATGTAGAAGTAATTCAGTGTGGCAATCTGGCAGTTCAGAGCACTGGTCAACTTCCTGGATTCAAATCCTAGCTCTGCCACTAGTGGCAAGACCTTCAGCAGGTTACTTCCTCTCTCTGACCCACAGTCTCCTCAACTGTATCTACCCTTTAAGGTTGTGAGGAGGATTAAATGAATACATGTAGATCAGAGCAGTGGCTAGCATTTAGAGAACACTTAGAAAGTAGGGTTTGGCTTGTATATTTGGGGTTTTTAAATCTCCATCATCATTTATGTCTAGGAAAGGGTGGAAGATTGGTTATGTCAAGGCCAGAGAGACTTGACTGGCCACTGCACTGGGTACTCTGACCTCCTCCTCCTCTCTGCCCCTGTACTGGGTCAAATAAAATATATCATTCAAATTTATTAGAATTTAACACTGTTGTTGTTGTTGTTATGTGCTGTGGAGTCAGTTCCGACTCTGAGGCTGCAAATCATTGCAGGAGCAGAAGGCCTCATCTTTCTCCTGCAGAACAGCTGATAGTTTCGAACTGCTAACCTTAAGGTTCGCAGCCTGATTCGTAACCACAACGCTACCAGAGCTCCTTGAATTTAACATTAGAGCACTAGTAATAGTTGTTGCACACTCCCCCTCATCCTCATCCTCTGACTCCACTAGGAAATCCTTGACCCTAGACATTCTGTCAAGTGGTCCCAGACAGTGGATGGGAAGTGACTTAAAGAGACCCACTCCCTTCTTTTTTTGCCTCACCCACCCAACCATTACACAATGAGGAAAAGACTTATATCTCTCACTTGAGCAACTGTAAAGCCCTCAATGGGTCTCTGCTTCCACGCTCTCCACCCCGTCACAATCCATCTGGATCCAGATTGTCTCATGGCTGGCTCCTTCCTGACATTCAGGTATCAGCTCAAATGTCCCCTCCTCAAGATGTTACTATAACTGCTTTATTTTCTTCAAATTACAAGTTACTACTTAAAATTGAACTGTTTATTTTCCATCTCTCATACTAACTTGTTACCCCAGCACACAGCACAGTGACTGGCTCACTCACTCATGAATGAATAAGGGAACAAATGAATGAATGAGTGAGTGAATGAATGGATATGACAGAAACTCAGACTAAAGACTCAGACTAAATACTAACCAATTTTGTAACCATGAGGCTGTCCCTCTTGTGCCTGGGCCTCAGTTTCTTCATCTACAAAGTGATTGTTGTTGTTGTTGAGTGCCGTCGAGTCAATTCTGACCCATAGCAACCCTGTATAGGGTTTTCGAGGAGCAGCTGGTGAGCTTGAACCACTGACCTTGCAGTTCAAATGGCTTTGCTGTCTGGCGCATTAACCAACAGCGCCACACCAGGACTCCCTAAAAAGTGATAGGGTTGCACTAAATATCATGGGAAAGACTTGCTAGTTCTGACATGCTGTGTTTCCAGGATACCAAAACAGACTCCCATTGAGCTGCATTTCCTTGGAATTCTGGAGACAGTTCAGCAATTCCCGCATGCTGAGAATAATCCATGGGGATCTAAGGCCAATGACTCCCTAGGTCTTTTGCTTACCAATGAGCTGCACTTGTTCCTCTTCTGTGGAGGCTGTCTCCTGCAGGTCATGAAGAAGTTTGCTGTTCACCTGGATGACATCATCGATATTTGAGAAGAGGACATCCAGATCTCCCTGGGGCAGCTGAAAGGAAAACAGAAGCCACTGGGTTCTGTAGAATTCATCTGCTGATGCTTGAGAACAGTCCAGAGTACTCACTATCATTACATGTGGGAAGACTTAGTGTTCCAATGCAATGCTTGCAAGAGATTTTAATGTTAAGATATGAGACATTATCATAACTCTACAAGAAGAGAGGAAGAGATTGATTACTCAGCATGGAAGGAAGCTGGGCTGGGGCTGCTACTAACTAACTAGTATTCTTTTTCTGTTTCCCCATCTGTCAAATGGGGAATGGAAGTTGAACTTCCTTCTAGCTCTGACAACTTGGCACCTTTAGGTTGAGATGCATTCTAGGCTCTAGCCCTACCAACTAGGTCAACAACAACAACAATGGTTTAAACAGTTGCAGGGCATTTATATGCAAGGACCAGGACAAATGTCTTGGAGATAACTTCAAGTGGAAAAGATAGCTACAGAACACTATGCTAAACTACGTCCTTATTTTTGTTAAAATAAATTAACAACCCATGTTTACTATATTTTATGTCTATTGAGAGAAATCCTAATTTCTTGAAAGTGACATGAGAGGATTTTCACCTTTCATGTTAATATACTTGAGTATTTCATTAATTCAAGAAACACTAACTGGAAGTCCATTATTCATGAGTCTGGAACTAGGAGATACTGAACTAAACACAGCCTTTTTCCTTGAAGTTGTATATAGAGTGTCTGTGTTGTTTCTGAAATCAGGAAGTATAAGGGTAAGTAAAAAAGCATTGCTACAAAGTCATAGAAACTGTTATTAAACAAAAATATTAAAATGTGAAGCTTTTGTATCCTTGCTCCTTGGAAATCCTATGCAGGGTGGCTATGAGTCAGAACTGACTCAAGGACACTTAATAACAATAACAATAAGGACTCAAACCCTGTTTCTTTGAAATTTTTGAAAAGGAAGTCTGAAAGGGTAAGACCAGGGCTGTAGGGTGGGTAGGATAAGGTTTCCCAATGAAATTCTCATAGGACAGCTCTGGTTACCCTTAAAGAACAAACAGGTACACTGTCGTAATGGAAAAAAATTCTTCAGCACAACTTTCCTAGCCTTAGTCTCACCAATTCAGTTCTTAATTTTCTTAAATCTTCTTTCTCATAAGCCCCCATGATTGTTCTGTATCTTTTGAGAAAAGCTATCAAAATCATCCCTCTGGGGTTCCCCAAAACAGCCACCATAACCTTCTGAGCTAAACACTCTGCCTGGAATTTAACTGACCCAGCACATCTCCTCAAAAGCCATTCTTTTGATTGGGCTTCTTTTTTTAAAATTATTTTTACTGGACCTTAATGAGACTGTTGTCATTGTTAAGTGCTGTTGAGTCCATTCCGGCCCATAGCGACCCTGTACAGGTTTCCAGCTAGTGGGTTTGAACTGCTGACCTTGTGGTTCACAGTCCAGTGCTGATCCAACAGCACCACACCAGGCATCCTTAATGAGACTAAGGCAAGTGTATTATTGAGAAAATTGGTCTGCTGCTATCTGATAAATGCAGAGCTATGTTTAAACGTTTTGTCTAGAATAAACCTGTGCATGTACAAACTAAACCTTAGAAGCACTACTTTTTTACTTGCCCTTGTGTATGTGTGTATGTGTGTGTGTGTACCAGTGACAACTTCTCTGTCACCATTTCCCAATTGAAACACTTAAAATGTGGGTCAGTTTAAGCAATCTTTTCTAAACTTAATAAAAGGCTTTTTATCCATTGTTTCACTTACTTCTCTGAGTTAATTATTCTTCTCCCTATTTAGCAGATGAATCAACTAAGGCTCCAAAGCAATCAAAAGTGTTATTGAAGGTTGCAAGGCCAAAAAATGGAAATACAGTTATTTCCCAACATATAACAAAGCGAGGTACAGGGATCCTCACTTACCACCATCCGCTGTTGCTGTTTGTTTGCTTGTTTTGTGATTTAGCAATATTTACTACTTATAATGTTGGAACATGTAATTTGCTGATGTTATCACTTCCAGATGTTCACTTGCTGGCAAAGATCAAATTTATAAAGATATTGATAATAAAAGCAATAATAATGAAAACTTTTAAAAAAGATATTTGACAAGTCTCCTGCCATCGCCTCCCAGGCATGGCCCAGGGCTTCACTGCACTATGGCAGCAGCACGGCACAGCACCCTGGATTTCACGCTCAGCGCCAAAGCTGATGGCGAGACCATTCTGAAAGGCCTCCAGCCCATTTTCCAGGAGCAGGGAATGACGGAGTTGGTGCATACCTGCAGGACCATGGCTACTTAGCAACCTACACCAACAAAAATGGCAGCTTTACCAATTTGAATATTTACCACCATGGATTGGTGTTGCTGGACCTTCAGAGCTGCAACAATGACGTGCAAGGAAATGGACAGTCTTTTGAACAAAGTAGACGAAAGAATGAAAGAACTGAGTCAGGACAGTACAAGGGTGAAGCGCTTACCACCCATAGTCAATGAGGGAACATCGACAGATATTGGCCCACTGCTGATGGACGCTTGGTCAAGTATGACATCAGTGAAGTGGTATATGCCAAGGATTCACCTTACCAGAACATTACAATTCTGCACTCTAACTAATTTGGAAATATTAATGGAAATATTCAATGGGAATGTCAATTTGGCAGAGAGTGATCGGGCATATACCCGGGCCATCATGGGCAGTGGAAAAGAAGATTATGCAGGCAAAGACATACTGATTCTGGGAGGTGGTGATGGGGGCATATTATGTGAAATAGTCAAACTAAAACCAAAGATGGTCACTATGGTAGAGATTGACCAAATGGTGATTGGTGGATGTAAGAAATACATGTGAAAAACATGTGACAAAGTCTTAGACAATTTTAAAGGAGAAGGCTGTCAGGTTCTAATAATAGAAGACTAGAGGTACGCCAAAGAAGGGAGGAAGTTTGATTATGTGATTAATGATTTGACAGCTGTCCCCATCTCCAGAGGAAGATGTCTCCAGAGGAAGATTCCACATGGGAGTTTCTCAGACTGATTCTTGACCTTTCAATGAAATTATTGAAACAGGATGGGAAATATTTTACACAGGGAAACTGTGTCAATTTGACAGAAGCTTTGTCGCTCTACGAAGAACAGCTTGGGCACCTGTATTGTCCTGTGGATCTCACCAAGGAGATCATCTGTGTCCCTTCATACTTGGAATTGTGGGTATTTTACACTGTGTGGAAAACTAAGCCTTGAAGATGAATGTCACTGATCATAGATGGCATCAGAACGAGGCAGGCAATTGATTGTGAATTCCTTAAAGGTTTTTATGTTTTTTTTTTTATTTTATTTTAAAAGAAGCAAATGGAAAATGTATATTTTGATGTGCTAGGGTGTGTGTATTTTGTTTGTTTCTTTTTTTGACAGTAAGCTTAAGGATGATCCAGCAGCACAATTGAGGTTGCTTCATGCACTGAACCCCTAGAATGTGATTTTTGTTACTCTGTATTTCTGTGTGGGCTGTTTCCCTCCCCCTCATTTACATTTTTATTTTGCTTTTGGTAGACTTTCCGTGTGGATGTTTGGAGGAATGAACATCATTATATTGTTCCCGAGGGAAATTCTGTTCAGAAAGTTGACTTAGATTATTAAGATTTGGTGCTTATAAGAGAATTCAATAAAATGAATAGCATTGTTCCCATTAAAGTCACAGAAGAGGAAAAAAAAGAAAAGATATTTGACAAATGTCAGAACAGACTTACAGTTGTAGTAGTCAGAAAGGAGACCTATCATGAGTCAGGGGCTGCCTGTTGCTGTTGTTATTAAGTGCTGTTAGATCATTTCCTACTCATAGTGACCCTGTATAGGGTTTCCAGGAAGCAGCTGATAGGTTTGAACCACCGATCTTGCAGTTAGCTGTCCTGTACTTATCCTACAGCGCCACTATCTGTGTTGTTGTTGTTAAATGCCATTGAGTCAGTTTCAAACCATTGCAACCCTGTATAGGTTTCCGAGGAGCAGCTGGTGAGCTTGAACTGCCAACCTTGCAATTCAAATGACTTTGCAGTCTGGCACATTAACCCACAGTACCACACTAGGGCTCAAGGCATTTAAATCCAAGTCCGTCAGAACTCACACCCACCATGCCTTCCTTCCATCAAGCCTACCCCTAGAGCTACTGTGAGAGCTCAGAAGCCTGTAAAAATCACTGTGTGCGGCCCCAACCAGGTACCTGCTGGAGGCGGCTCCTGATGTCACGGGCACAGAGTCGGAGCATGTGCAAGTAGGAGATCTCGGTGTCCATGAGCTCCTGGACCGCCAGCTTCTGATGGAGCAATGATTTGTCTTCAGAGACCCGACCTTCCCCATCTAGAGTCCCTGTCATGGAGAACGGCTCATCAGCCCCTTCACCAGCCATGTCAGCAAGTTCTAGGAGAGTCAAAGACATCACAACTCACTTTTGGAGTTCTGTTGGGACATGCTGTCACTAATTCAAAGACAACAATTCATCAGATACCCTAAAAACACCAATAACTGCAAACAGAGTCAAGATGAACTGTTTATTAGTGTCTGTGGTCAGCAGCTGAACAAGAATAAAAGGTTAAAAACAGTTGAGATAATTTTTGACATTTTAAATTCATTTCCCAGTATTCAGACAGTGTGCTTGTCTGGCTTATCTGCTACTTCCCCTCAGCTCTTGGCCCAGATTTCTTTATCTGTTTGGCTGAGCCTCTCTCCCGGCGCTTTCTTTCTCTCCATTCCCACAGCCAATGACCCCATTCAGGCTGCATGACCCATCACTTGAGCTATTTTCCAAGTCCAAATCCTTCTCTCCCACCTGTTCCCATTTGTCCTGGACATTCCTCCTGGCTTAAGCTTCCTGAAACAAGGACTAAGGTCATGTTATACCCTTCTGGGAGACATATAAAAGCTCCCTGCTCCAACCCCATTTTCCCCTTCAGACATCATATTCTAGTGAAAGAGAATTAAGAGCTTTTCTCTGTACCTGCATCTTCATGTCCTGCCTCCCCACTTTGGCACCTGCTGTGCCCCTTCCATGTCCATATTCTTCAACATTCTTCTTTTCTAACGGCTTTCCTGATCCTCCCACACAGATGTGGTTTCCTTCTCTGAAACTCCCACAACCCTTCATCAATAATGTAAAACATATGAGGGGCAAAGTTATGGACAAAACAAAACAAAACAAAAGCCCACTGCCGTTGGGTGGATTCGGATTCATAGCAACCATACACAGCAGAGTAGAATTGCCTCCCAGGGTTTCTAAAGCTGCATAGCTTCACAGAAGCAGACTGACACATCTTTCTCCCATGGAGCAACTGGTGGCTTTGAACTAGATACCTTTTGGTTAGCAGCCAAGCACTTTAACCATGGTGTCACCAGGCTCCACTTGTTGTGGACAAGATGACCTGAAAACCTTCCTACTACAAAACACCTAGAAATGCTAACTCAGCTCAAAATAACTTTCCTTTCAATTGCATAACGAAGCCTGCAACAGAATCAAGGAACTCACCAGGGTTCAAAAATAAAGAGGGACCTGAAAACAGAAACAGGGAGAGGCTGAGCTGACACAGCAGTGGCCCAAAGTGGAGGGTGTGGGTAGGGGAGAAAGCATTGCCAAGAAAGAAAAATTAAAGGCACTTAAATTGGCAAAGAAGAAGTAAAACTCTCTATTTGCAAATGATATGATCCAATACAAAGAAAATCCCAAAGACTCAGCAAGAAAATTATTGAAACTCATTGAAAGATTCAGCAAAGTGGCAGAGTACAATAGCAACATACAAAAATCACAGTTGAATTCCTTTACATTAATAAAGAGAGCTCTGAAAAGGAAGTCAGGAAAACAATACCATCTATGATACCATCACCCAAAAGATGAAAGACTTAAGAATAAATCTAACCAGAGAAACAAAAGATCTATACAAATAAAACTACAAAACATTACTACAAGGAAGCAAAAGTGACCCACAAAAATGGAAGAATATATCATGCTCGTAAATAGGAAGAGTTAACACTGTGAAAATGTCAACACTCCCCAAAGCTATCTATAGATATAACACAATCCAAATTAGGTAAAAAGATTTCAAAACAAAATCTACTACATAGCCAAAGCAGTTAAAAAATAAATAAATAAGGCAGCCTAGTATTGGTACAAGGAAAAGGAGCCTGGTAACATAGTAAATTACAAACTAGGCTGCTAACCACAAGGTCAGCAGTTCAAATCTATGAGTCACTCTGTGGAAGAAAGATGAGGCTTTCTAGTCCCATAAAGATTTATAGCCTTAGAAACCCTATACAAGGTTGCTATGAGTTAAAACCCACTCGGTGGCACACAACCACCACCACCACTGGTACAACAAAGACACATAGATCAATGGAACAGAATTGAGAATCCAGAAGTTCATCTTCAATAAAGGACCAAAACACATAAAATGGGGAAAAGATAGTCTCTTCAACAAATGATGCTGACAAAGCTGGAAATCTATTTCCAGAGAAATGAAACAAGACTTATATCTCATACCATACACAAAAGCAAATTTAATGTAAAACCTAGAACTATAAATATCATCAATGAAGAAATAGGGGCAAACTTAGGGGAACTGATAACATGGCATAAATACACTATCAAACATAACCGAAAGCACACAAACAGTAGAAAATATGAGCGATGACTAGGGCCTCCTAAAAATTATAAACTTAGGTGCATCAAAAGATTTCACCAAAAGAGTAAAAAGAGAACCCACAGACTGAGAAAAAATTTGGCTATAACTTATCAGACAAAGGACTATTCACTAAAATTTATAGAGCAATTCAACACCTCAACAAGAAGACAAATAATCCAATTTAAAATTGAGTAGAGGACATGAACAGAAATTCACAAAAGAAGATATTCAGGAAACCAACAAACATTTAAAGAAATGCTCGTGATCATTAGCCATTAAAGTAATGCAAATCAAAACAACAATGAGATATCATCTTACACCAGCACTAATAACGCAGTTAAAAAAAACAAAAACAGAAAATAGCAAATGCTAGCAAGGGTGGAGAGAAACTGGGACTCACCTACATTTCTGGTGGGACTGCAAAATGGTGCAACCACTGTAGAAAATGGTGTGGCGCTTTCTCAAGATTGTGTGGCCCAGCAATCTCTCTGCTTGGTATATATCCTCAAGAAATAAGAGCTGTGACAAGACTAGATATATGCACACCCATGTTCTCTGCAGCACTATTCACAATAGCAAAAAGATGGAGACATCCTAAATTCCCAATAAAAGAATAATGGTTAAACCAACTTTGGTGCATACAAACAATGAAATATTATGCAACGTTGAAGGATAACAGTGAAGCTGTGAAACACCTCACAACATGGATGAACCTGGAGGACATTATGCTGAGTGAAATTATTGTTGTTGTTAGGTGCCATCGAGTTGGTACAACTCATAGCAACCCTGTGTACAGCAGAATGAGACACTGCCTGGTCCTGGGTTAACCTCACAATCATTGCTACATTTGAGCCCACTGATGCTGCCACTGTACCATACCATCTCGTTGGGGTTCTTCCTCTTTTTCTCCAATCCGCCACCTTACCAATGACTTCTCCAATGACTGGTCACTCCTGACAACATTTCCGAAGTAAGAGAGACAAAGTCTGGCCACCCTGGCTTCCAAGGAGCACTCTGACTGTACTTCTTCCAACACAGCTCTGTTTGTTCTTTTGGCAGTCCATGGCATATTAAATATTCTCCTCCAACACCATAACTCAAGTGCATCATTTCTTCTATGGTCTTCCTTATTCACTGTCCAACTTTCACATGCATATTAGGCTATTGAGAATACCATGGCTTGGGTCAGGTGTACCTTAGTCCTCAAACTGACATCTTTGAACTTTAAAGAGGTCTTGTGCAGCAGATTTGCCTAATGCAATACGGTGTTTGATTTCTTGACTGCTGCTTCTATGAGTGTTGATGGTTGACCCGAGCAAAACGAAGTCCTTGACAGCTTCAATCCTTGACTTTAGGTCACACTGTATTCCAACAGATAACCTTCTCTTGAAGCTGAGTTTAAAACCCAAAATCACTGACCACATGACTATTAAGGATTGAACTGTGTCCCCCACAAATATATGTTGAAATTCTAACTCCTACATGTCTAGATATTATCTGATCTAATGTAATGTAATCACTTCCCATAATGCAACCTAATATAATCAGTTGAGGTCATACCAGCTTTGGATGGATCCTAAACCTAAACAGGGAAAGAGAGATGTCACGTGAGAAACAAAGACCTGGGTCTATCAACAAAGAACCTGTTCAAAACCCTGATTTGGACTTTTAGAATCTAGAACTGATGTGCATGAGGAAATAAATTTCTGGTTTTTAAAACCATGCTTTAGTGGTATTTCTGAAACTGTGTTGTTAAGTGCCATTGAGTCAGTTCCAACTCATATCAACCCTGTATAGGGTTTCCAAGAAGAAGCTGGTGGGTTTGAGCCTCCGACCTTGGAGTTTGCAGTTCAGTGCTTATTCTAGAGCATCATACCAGGATCCCTTTTAAACAGTAACACCAGGTAACTAAGACAAATAAATCTTTACAACGAAGGCCAAGCTTAGACCCCAAGAACATCAGACAATCAAACCATGCTCTGTTTCTTTAAAATGAATTTCAAAATATTCTTTGAAATACTGTTTTAGGAATGTAATTGATTTTTTGAATGTTGACCTACAGCAAAATTGAAGAACTCTCACTGTTTCTTACATTCAGTGTTTAGTTTATATCGAAACTATAAAAAACCAAAGGCCAATTTCACTGGCATTTCTATTAATAACAACTCCATGGGACACAGTAGAACTGCCCCATAGGGTTTCCAAGGCTGTAATCTTTATGAAACCAGACTGCCACATATTTCTCTAGTTAAGCATCAGGTAGGTTTGAACTGACCACCTTCAGATCAGCAGTCAAGTGTTTTAGCACTGTGCTACCAACGTTTCATCAGTGTTATATAAGCATACACCATATTTTTACACAAATAGTGAGAGTGTCATGGTTTTTGCAAAGTATGCAACCCCTTTGTGTATTTGCTTCCTGTGCTCTGTGTACATTATGTGTGTGCACATGTCACTTCTGTAGGCATGTTGTATGCAAAAATATGGTAATTTAAAGCAATGGATAATTCTACATCTGTAATGAAAAACAGAAACAGATAATTGCACAATGCTTGTTATGAAAAATCACCTGTCCTTTTTATTTTCCTTCCTGCCACAGCCACTACTAAAATTCAATCATTTCAGCTGATTATTTTAGTATTTTCCCTAGGATAAGCACTGGATTGCCAACTGTAAGGTTGACAGTTCAAACCCACCAGTCTCCAAGGGAGAAAGATGAAGCTTTCTACTTACGTAA